TAAGAAGGCAAGCACGCCAAGTAAAGAACTGTCTCTGCGCGTCTCTTCATCTCTTTTCTACCCAGTCCAGTCCGCCCCCCCCCGGGCACATTCGCAATTCAAATGTCCGCGGAGGATGCACCAACTCCGAGGAATCTTGTGCAGGAACTCAGAATCTTCATGGTTGGGTGATGTTCCGCCCTAGCAACTGGGACCCTGAAAAATAGAGAGAGGTTCTAAGTTCTAATCCTGTTTTACCTGTATCTTTATACTTGAACTACAAACCTACATACAGCAGGCCGCTAGCCGAAAAAAAAGGGTACTTCACCTGCCTGGACAGTGTTCATGCGACTCGCACAAACTCGGATCAAATCTTGTAGCTGAAAACAATGTGACAGGCACTGTGCGGTTGCCACTGCAGGCACCCCTTGTGGATTCTGGGAGGGTTTCTCCAGCAGCTCCTATGGACGTGTCGAGGGTCAAGCCCGAGAAACAGGCCGGTAAAAAGGAGACCCCTACTAAGGAATCCAAACTCCGAACATCAAAACAAAAATATTCAAGCTTTGAGCCACCACCCGGACGCCTCAAAGCTGATAAAGCGTGCCAGCTTTGGCTGTTTTGATGCGTCCACGGCAAACATCAGCATATCATGTCTAATAAATACAATTTCCGTATAATTATACGGCAACTATATAGCAACCAATGAAAAGGGTTACATGACCAACCATGTGCTGCTGTGATTCCTGCAGCATGTTGCTTGCATTATCGTCGTATTTTTCACGTTCCGAACCTTGGCCATTTTGGCACGTGCTCAGGTGCGCTGAGTTGCAGCGGCCAGGTTCTCCATGGGTTTTGGAGAGGCGTGAGCTGCATGAACATGCTGAAATGGGCCCAATAACAGCGAATCACAAATCTTGGGTGGGACCACCGTGACCACCTGGTCCAAAGGTTCTGCTCATGGTTCACGGGTTCTGCCAGTTTGTTAGACCAAATGCATTTTGGTTGTCCAGATCAGCAATACATGAGCAACACTTGGGTGATTGTTGCGTCATACCATCCGTTCAAATTGGATGTCCTCAGTCTCAACCTTCTTTGGTGAGAAAGTTCCGAGCTAAGTAAAGCCACACTTTACCAAAGTCAAGTCTCAAGAAATGCGTCAATAACAACGCCCATTCCAGGTTCACCTCATTTCACCTGATTAGCACTGGCAAATGCACCATTGACCCGGCCGCACTGGAGGGTCCTTGGATAAAAGGAACCTGTTCCCAAATCATAGTTCTTGTACAGGTCGGGTGGGGTAGCTGCTTCTAGCTGTACATGTACGCTGGACATGTTAATCCTCCATCCAACCACACCAATAGCAAATGCATTCGCACAGGTCCGCTGTATGGTGGCTCTTGGCCACATGTTCAATCACCCCCTTCCAACAAGAAGGACGCAAACAGCGCTAATTACTAAAACACATACACACAAACACCCACTCTTGTATCAACAAATCCCTTGCTCTTGAATGCTCTTGAGGGATTTGTAATGTTTTTGACTTAAATCTGGAGCATCCAACTTAGAGAAGGTTGGCTTCATTTTTGATTTACATCTGGAGCATCCAACCTAGAGAAGGTTGCCTTCACCAGTTTTCCCACCTCCTCGGCAAATACTTCATATGTTTGGCTGAAAAGGGTGCTTACATGGATGTCCCTCTCCGCCAATGAATCAAGCCTTTTTCACTCGAATGACTCTGTGCCTCTTGGACCTCGGATGCCCTTGGGGAGTTATACCTTGTGGACCTCTTCCAGGAGGCACCTTCACATCTTCCGCGCCGACCAAGGCTTTCCCTACACCAACGATGTTCATCAATTTTCCCAATGACAAGTCTGATATCGTCTGACAAATCAATGGCTGGCCTCGCTGTCTATACTTGTCCATGCTTGCGAGTGCTCTGCAGCTTCAACTCAGTGCTCCACGTTTCGCATGTGAAACCTTTTCGCCGTTTTGCCAGAGGGAAATGGATGATCCATGAAGCCGATGTTCCTGGGCGTCAGGGTCGGTGGGTTTGGAGGAGTAGGGCTTACGATCAGAGATTGAATAAACTCGAAACGTCTAGGGGTAGGGGTAGGTATTGGTGGATCGTGCACATGCTAAAGGCCAAAGCACATGTGCTATCATGTGCTCGTTTAGATTTGCACACTGTTGATGCGAATGCGACTGCATGTTGGAGTTGGTTAATGCCAGGTTGGCATCTTATGAGCACACCCCAAGAATGACAGAAAAAAACAAAAAACAAAACAAACACATCAAATTGGACTCCGTGTGAAACAAACATGCGTTTTATCATGGAACACGGTCCAAACTCTGGCCGACCTTTTCCCACCAGTCGTCGCGAGCCGGGCCCGTCGCTTCACCGAGCTCTCGGCCCGTTGAGCTTCTTCACGTCCTTTCCGGAGCTTCCTCCGTCGCTTCATCCACTTCGTCGACTCGGGGAAACTGCACATCCTGCGATGGAGGGGATGGCCATAAGAACGCATGGAGCGTGTGGGATGGATTTTTTTGCTGGTTCCTGCCTCCTGGAAAAGAAATCCTGGAAGCGGACAACATACAACAATTCTGTTTCTTTTTCGAGGCGAGCATTTGAAGGATCAGGCGCAGTCGTCGCAGGTCCCTACCTTCGATTCCCACATTCCCAAACTGATTCCTCTAGCGATTCTGATTCCGGCTGGACCCAACAAGAACCCAAAATAACCCATACCTGAGTGCTGGGTCAATTGGGTAACAAACTGGTTTCACTTGGGACTTCCCCATCTCATGCCTTGAGAAGGCCCCCTGCTCACCCTCAGTTGACTGTCAGGCGAGGGACCAAATATCTGCTCCGTCTCCACCGGTCTCTCCTGCACTTCGACCTCGGCGGTCTCCACAGGTAGCAAATTGTAATCCTGGCGCGGCGCAAGTGAGCAAGGTGAACCAACATGGCGAAGTCTGCACCGTGTTGGATTGTTATGGATTGTTTCCTAAAGGGTAGCAACGGTGGCAGGGATATTTCTTTGCTAGGAACATGGCAGTGTTTCAGGAATTTGCCCATAAAACTTCCAGCGACTTCATCATCCTAAATACAAAAAGCTAGGACAGCCCCTACTGGGCAAAGGGAGAAAATTCCGATGTTCTATAGAGGACGCTTTGGGTGCTGTCACTCTGTAAACTGTAAACACTTCCTAGATGCTTTGATATGCTGTGGGTGAGGGGTTCCACAGCGTTCCACCGTCAAGTCACCGTGACGGCATGGGACCACCAATGCTAATCATTCGGAAGGGGAATAACAGGTAAATGCAGGACCCTAGGCATGGCAAGAGTCCCTCACACGACGGCAGGTGTCCAATGGCCTGGTCGGCAGGTGATCCACATGACGTGGGGGGCCCCCGAGAAACTCGCACACGACGTCCGACTTCTCCTGTGGCCTTTCACCGGCTACAGGTGACATCCCCAAATACTCCCCCAAAAATACACTAACACTCACTGGCACAGGTTGCCTATGGTTCCCCTTTCACATGTCGTGTTGGTCTTTGAAGTTTTGGTGGGAAGAGACCTCCAACCACCCCTCTGAGCGCGGAGAAGGCCAGTCATCTTGAGAATGAGGCGTCCACGGAGGTCTTGCCTCATCCTCGTCATCTTCATCCTGCGGCGCGACGTGCGGCGTGGCGTGAAGACCACAGAAGTCGATACCCCCGAAACCCAAGGGTGCTGGTCAGTGATGCCCTCCAAGTATTTGCAAAGCCACATGCTGACATACTGAAGACTTGGCCAAGCCTAGTGTTCCAAGGGCTTTTGGGAGAAACTGCCACAGGTCCAAAAACACATCACATTAAATCATCTTATGCCTTTTTCCATGCCAAGATAGATAGAAATCCAAAGTGGGTGCCTTGGAGCTACTGGACGAGCGCTTTTTTTCAGGAGCAACCTATTCAGGATATTACTTTTTGGGCAAAATTGGCAACAAAATCCTCTGGGAGTGCCAGAATTCCGGATCATTCCTGAACAAGAAAAATTACAAACCATCAAATCATATCAAATCAAATCTTACCTGTGCCAATGGATGGGAGGTGGCGGAGTCGATTGAAGAAATCTTGGACCTCAAACCTAACATTTCTTTGTGTATGTAGTGTGCACACCCAAATAGCAGGGGACTTTGGCCCTGGTCAACACCGGATCTTCAGATTTCCCGCAAGTGATGTCATGAATCCTTTCTCTATCCTCGCGACATCTACCAAAAACAACCCAAATGATATCCAACATTGAAGATCCACCGCTAAACCAATCAAATCCCAAATGCGAGGAGGTACAAATGGTACAGTATATGAAATACATTAAAGTACCATTCTTGACCGGCCATGATTCCAAAACCGAAAGGCCACCATCTAAACCTGTCTGCTCAAGGACCGTCATTCGCCCAACAACCATCTATTTGACAAAACATCACACAGGCATAGATCTGTAAATGTAATAGCTTGCCAATGGATCGGATCGAACTTATTTTCTTGCAGGTCTTAGGTCCAATCAATACCTTCTTCAGTCATCGAGTCCATGACCGCCCTGCATACGATCCCATGGACCCTGACAATGACCCCATGGTGGAAAACCACTACAGTAACCTTAAACAGTGGTTTTGAGAATTCCATGTGCCCCTCCTCTGCAGGGCAGGAGGGTTCCTCCTAACCTCCGTGTCTTTGTTCCTTTTTTTTTCGCTGAACTGCTGCCAGGTGGCCCGCCGCAGTGCCTCCTCCCGCAGGAGTGCTAACTCGGCACCTTGGATGGCCATCTAAGGCGGGAACATCTCCAAGGAAGGTCTGTTCAGACCAGAGAAACCCTAAACCCTAAAACCTATTAGGGTTTAGTTTAGGGTTTAGGGTCTTGGTTTTCTGATGTTTTCTCTGGTCTGAAGCTGGGTTGACCAGAGAAAATGAACAGAATGAACCTACCGGAGGTCAACCTACCCCTGGCGGTTTGGGGCTCGAACCCGCGGACGAACGCTGTGGATCTTTGCACCCCTTGCTGTTGTGAACGGGTATGAAAGACAATGTGAGAATACATGCAAGATAACAACCGCATATACAGGAGAGAGTATGTACTGTGCGAATTAACCCAAAGACGGTTAGGCCACATCTATGGATAGCATGAACTTGGATATGCAAGAGCATGACAAAATTTAGCAGCTACGAATTAGGGCGTGATGAAAACATAGCATCTCATGGGCGCAAAGGATGTAAGTTCAGTCAGGGATCGAAAGTGGTAAAGTCCCTATTAGCTCTGAGATATCGGCGTAGCTTGTCAACACGAGTTTTGAAGCGGCGGCTCTGTAAAGTGTTTTCAGGTTTAAGCACCGGTGTATCGGCTGGTGCACCGGGGCTCCGGGTGAAATGACCCACATCCATATTCTGACTCTGCATTCATAAAGCCACCGGAGAGAAAGTCGTATTTGCCAACATGGAATGTACGGTATATAGGGCTAATCTCAGATCGATGATCTATTAGACGGAAGCGGATAACTGGCACTTCAAAATCCATAATCCAACTTTCACGTCACCTATTGTGCCATTGAGGCAGACATTGGTTTGAAGCCCAAAGGTCATCTGACAGTGTCCAACAGACCCTGTCTAGTAGCCTGCCAGGCATTGTCATTTGGGGTGGCGCCTTGGGCGCCCATGGCACTGGCATAACAAGTATACACATGACTGAGTCACTTGCGCACCTGAGGCAATATGAACACCACTCTCCCTGGAAGTAGAATGGATGTGGATGGCATGGCCCCTTGTTCAGAACATCTTCCTCGAAAAACAGGAGGTGTTCCACTTCCATGTTAGTTCCAGAGAGTGAAATTGGTCTTCTTTGGCGTCCTGACTTCCTATGTCATCCTAACAGTTCCATCTTGAGAAGTCGCCGGCGTGCTGTGGATTCAGAAGGTCTGAAGGTGCTTCGAAGACCCGGAAGAGACAAACAAGGTGAGGGCAACCAAAGAAATCAAATCAGAAATGCAGAAATGCAGAGGGGTGTCTGGTCCTGTTTTGGACAATCCAGTCTCAAGTCGGGCTTGGCATGGACCAGACTGGAAGACGATTTTTCTCTACAACCGGAAGGTTTTCAGGTTCCATGTGGGTCTCTTCCAGCTAGGGTGAAAGAAACAGCTTGGCTTTGCCCCACTCCGTTGCTGATGCGGCCAGGGCCAGGCGCGTAGGTACTGAAACTCCTCCATGACCTGCGTCCGAGGTGACGGGGCCCAATCCAAATCCGAGGAACATGCGGAGGTGTTGTCTTCCTCATTTTTCTGGCAGAAATGGCTGGAAATGGCGAAAAGGTCTAGGTTTAGATGGGTTTGGGGCCAGTGGATGTGTGGATGGCATCGACCTGCACAAAGCTCAGTTCTATAGGCCCAGGTCGACGTCTTGCACCGAAGAAGAACCCTCACACTCTATCAGTGCCTGGACTGGAAACACGCCCTCCTTCTTTCCGCAGGAATCTCGTCCAACTCTGTCCAAAACAATACCTTTAGGGAAGCCGCATTCCAAACGATCTCCAGATCATCTGAAAATCTGTCACAAACCTCCCAAACAATGTCTGAAATTAAAGGGGTTTAGTGCTGGTGGATTGAGAGCAGATGGTACAATCCCCCAAGTTTGGAGTTCTTTTTCCCTGAACTCATGAATTCTAAGACAGACTGTCTTGGGGTGCTACCAGTTGGTGCCATGTTGCGCCTCTGAGAACCGGATTCCACCTTGAATCAATACACCGACATCAACGGATCCCAACTCCCCGGACCGAGACCGTTCCCCGCCTTCGAGCCATTCGCTTGCAGGGTCTGTTGCACCACGGACTGACGGGGCAGAGAGCTGCGCTGAGGGCGGCTGAGCGAGCTGCGGAGTCAAGCAGAGTCTGGGGAGTTGGTTGGTTTATGTTGGTTCCAAAGCCCAATTCCGTGGAAAAACCAGATTGCAAACAAAGAAGCCATGGGCTTTTGGGAACTTCTGGCCCAGGCCCACTCCGGTCAAATTCACGGTCCGGAGAATGAGCAAAGCGACCAGCGACCAGCGGTCCCACTACGGAGCACCTTGATGACTCTGGATTGCTCTTTCACATCCTGGCTGCGCATCATTCGTGTCCGCTTGCGAACTCCGGCGTCCGAGTGCGACGGAGGGCGGCCCGCGACTAAAAGTCGACTGGCGAATGGCGAAGGCCGTCAGTTTCCCCAGTTGCGGGGCTTATGGGGATGCATGCAGACATGGTCAGGCCGCAAAGCTGCATCCAAACATGCAGTGGTGGATACCAGTGCTGAACCAAGAAGGTGTATACACAAGTGATCCACCAAATGTTGAACTTCCATCCTTAATCAACGAATCGTGTAGTCTTTTGGGGCTCATGTGCTTTTCAGAAAACCCGGATTGGAGGAGGTATATATTGCTTACCTGTAGCTGCAGCTCCTTCTAGCTGCTAGCTGTCCACATCATTAGATTATGCCAGTATATGATGATCTGTATGATCTGTGATGCATGGTCTGCAGTTGGAAAAAACAACAAGGCAAATAATATGTTAAAGGCATCCAAAGGCAATTCAATACCCTCCAGCTACATTGCGTCCAGAATTGCATACAACCAACATCCTAGTGGCGTCTGGAAGACAATCCCCTAGAGTGGAGAAATTTCCAGGATATATCTTTGGAGGGTTGTCAAATGTTGTCGCACGACACTATTCAACCAACTCAACGACTGCAAGAACAACTGCATGTGACACGAGAACACTGTACATGATGGGGTCTAAGTGCAAGACCTGCTATGACCTGTACACCTGCAAGAAGCTTTTTCTCCTGCACCCTACCTACGGTAGACCACCTGAATCCTTATACCCCGCCCACCTCCAACCGTTCAACCGGTACGCCCTGAGACCGCCCTCGGTCCTTGACCGTGGCGGTGTTCTTTCCGCGCAAGTTCAAGATGGTCTCCACCAAGTTCTCGAAAGTCATGCCTTCCAAGCAGCGAGACGGCCCGGTTGGCCGTCCGGGCGCGGGCGGTGCGGTGCTTCGCGCCATGCATCGGAGATATCGGAGCCCCTGGTTTTCGGAGGGCGAAGGGTTTGCATGAAGAATCCATAAAGGAGAATGTATTTTGGGGAGCGTGAATGATCCTCAACTGTATAGAAAGTGATGTTTTAACTTGTTTAACGTGTTGTTCATCCCATGCAAACACCAATCCAGAATTGGAGACCACCTCTCACCCCCGGGGGCCTGTCAGGTACACCTCAAGAGGTGGCATCCATTGGAGGCTGTGAAGGATTGGGTTTTACGACTCCCGATGAACTGCTCGACCGTCTGTTTCGCCTGTGGGTTTCTGATTTGCGTAACAAAATGCTGCTGAACGCTAGCGGTTTCGTCTGCAAACCTGAAAGAAAAACAGAAACAGCATCCGCAGCTGCCACCCGCGAGTCATCTAACCCAAAGGCAAAGTAGGGCGGGACCAGAAAAAAACCGTTTCTTCTTGGATCAAAATCTGAACACCTCCGCCCACAACGGAGGGGGTGCAACATACATGTGCGGCAACACGCAATCTGTTTGAGGTCAGGCCACTCATGCCAAACTTGTTGAAGTCCTCATAGATGACCTGGTCGTTGCAGAAGCGATCTGCAAATGGCAAAGCTTCTTCCAGTTCCAGTCGGTCGGGGGAGTGCCTGCCCAGGGTGGTGTTCCACGCACTGGATGGGCCTCCAGGCACGGACATTATGATATAGCCTATACCAGCACCTGCCGAGGTGTCTATTCACAACCCTCTGGAAAGAGGTGATTTGGGGTGTCCAAAAAGCACCGGACTTGGAAGGTCCTGGTATAAATAGCATATAACTATACCTGCGCCTATAGTTATAAGCACTTTCTCATCCACAATCCCCAATTGGACCAGACCTACATGTACAATCATGTGTCATTCATCTCATATGAAGGCATCCAATCCCAAACGCTCCAAATATGGTATATTCACTTACATTGGCTCGTTTCAGGGGCCAATGTAGGCATATATGCCACACATGGCGTACCTGGTATAGTACGTAAAGGTTGTGCTATAGTTTGAGCACCTTTGTGTTTCAATGGTATGGGTGTGAGACACCCCAAGGAGGACATACCTAGGGGGCCCCCAGAAATCACTCTATGTCATATACCCTAGGGCTCCAAGTACCTCCTCAGAAGGTATTTGGACCCTTTAAACCCACCCCAGTCCCACCTTCTGAGAGGTACTTGGAGCTCTAGAGATAATTATTAACATGCATCCCGCCATCAAAAATCATCAACACTTGACTCAAAAGACACGTGGGTTGGGAGGCTGCCGAGTGGTGACACCCATCTCTTGACGTTCGCCTCACTAGGATTCCAACTCCTCAAGGTTGAGATCTGGGGACTTACCAGAAATTAGCAAGCACCCCCCTTTCGGCTTGGCACTCGGTGGGGGGAAGCCTTTCACCAGGAAGAGCGCTCTAGCAAACCAAGAAGTGCTCCATCCAAGAATGTGAGTGAGCTTGAGCCTACCCCAATCCAGCACATACACTACCCATGACTGCCCCTGACATCACAACCCACAAAACGCTGTTGGAAGATCTTGGTTCTCCGCCACCGGGGTCTTTTGACGTGCCGAAGAACACTTGCTTGGGCGTTTTGCAAAGGTCTTGGGACCCGCGCATCGGCAGTATCCACCAGCCTCAAGGCGCACCGGTTTGGGAATTCCCACCCGTTTAGTGTGAAATGGCGCGGCTTTCCCGACTTCAGAACCAGCCTTTCGGTCTTGGAAACCAAAAAACACGAAGTGGCAAGGAATAGTCTTTCTTTTCCTTGTCTGGGAGGGTCAGTATACCCACACTGTTTATTTGCATGTGCACATACAACACCTGGATCTTCCAACTAACAAAATTCCCTATGCCTCTTGGCAGATGAAAAGGTAGACATGTCGCAGTTGGAAGATCCATACATATATATACCTGGACCCTGAAACGATGTCTTTTTTTCCGTCTCGCCAGAAAACATGACGCAGAAACATGCAGCAAATTCGCGATAGAAAACATGACGCCAAAATGACGCAGAAGTGACAAAAAACAACGCAGAAGTAACAAAAATCGACACCAAAACTGTTTGTTGTGTGGGTTTTTGAGCTTCGCCTGAAAATTGCCCTCACCAGAAAAAAATACGTCTTTTGCGGGGTCTAGGTATATATATACATCATATATTTACTGAAAGGGTGCTGGACAGGTGAGCTCCACAGCAGCCCAGACGGTCGGGGCTCGACGGTTCGGAGATGCGGCTCCCGAGCCGTTTCCGTAAAGGTTATACAGTACCAGCACCGGCACCTTCTGAGGTGTCCATTGAATAGCCGGAAAGAGGTGATTCGGGGTGTCCAAAAAGCGGACTTGGAAGGTCCTGGTATACATAACCTTTCTTCCATTTCTCCATATTTAGTGGGGTGTCCCAATCGCCAGAGGTTCAAAGGTTATCCACTGACTGGATGGAATATGGATCCGGGTGTGGTTGTGGTTACCTGTGGTTTGTGCTTCTTATCATCTCACCTTCACAAACCGTTCACGCTCAGATTCCTGTTTGATGACGTAGGACAGTGCATTTGGATTATACATGGGCGAGTGCATGGGACTCACTGATGAGCAACTGATTAGGATTGTGGCTCTTGTCCACAACTCCATCACCATCACCTACCCCAAACACGACTAATGGGACTGCCATAGGACTGCCGCCCCAGAAAGACCCCTCTGGCACCACCCCTGGCCGTTTTTCGGCATCTATGGTAGTCCCATGTGTCGTGTCTGGGTACCTCAAAACCATGAGCAACTCTGATGGTTCAATTACCAGGACAAGGCCGCAAAAGCTGGGCGTTCCTCACTTGATTCTCCATGTTCTTCCGCTCAAACTGGGGGAACACATTGGAGCCCCCTGTCCCCCCAAAAAAAGAGATCAATTAGTTAGAGAGTTATAGTTACACTCACACCTTCTTTGTACGCAGCAACCCTTTGTGAATCTTGGACTGGACCCCCACGATAATAGTCAGCCAAAACCGATCAAACTACAAATTCAACGGCACGAAATAATAGCCAGCACGAAGAAATCAAAACCGATAATGGCCAGCACGAAAGCCAACATCATCCAACATCCAAGAATCCTCAGGAGATCCCCAAAGCAACCGACGCGCCGTCGGTCTTCGACCGACGCACAGCGACACGCGCCCACTGCGCGGCCCAGGAGCGCCACAACGTCCACACCGATGCCACGTAAGAGGCGATCCACACTGGGCAGGGAGGAGGGTCGATGCGAAAGGCCCCGACCCGGACTGCGATGGAAGAGACCCGGAACATTCGGACACCGCGTGGACCCGACGAGACGTGTCGGGAGGGTATTGTTTAAAGGTTCCGACCTCCTCAGGTGTTCTCCAATGCGATGGTTCCGACCACTTCACGCCGGTTCAGCATCCAACTCCAACCCAACATTTAAGACAAAAACGTGTCATTTGGGAGGACCATTCACTAATAGGATGGGAAACCAAGTCGAACCATCACCCAAATTTAGTTCACATCATGCCAATCCGTTGGACTCTTGAGCCAGATGAGAAGCTGTCTAATTTACAAAAAAAGGTGAGGTTTGGGTTACAAGCCTGTGTCCCTAGGGCTCCAGTCGTACCTCCTCAGAAGGTATGACTGGACCCTTTAAACCCACCCCAGTCCCACCTTCTTAGAAGGTACGACTGGAGCCCTAGGGTGTGGATGATGCGGTTTTGATGGATCTCTTCGACTGGAGTGCGAAGAGAACGTTCACTGGGCAAGTAACGCTTCCCCGGAGGCGGAAGCTAGCCCGTTTTTTCGTTCCAAAGGACCTCTCCAAACTGTATCATGCTCAAATCCGGAAGATCACCACACTCCATGGTACATAGGCCAGAGTACTTGACCAGATTTGCGGGTACCTTTCCTGGTGATTGCGGGTTCCCCATGTCTTTCCCCTCCCGATGGCGAGAACTCAACACCAGGCGCACGGGTCTGTGGCCACTGCAACTCGAGACCCTCGAGTCAAAGACTCGCGCCACGGTGGCTCCACACGAGTCCAAGTGGCTCCTCCTCCAGTAGGAGTTGTTGAAACTCCCGCTGAGACAAAGGCACTTCCTAGGGAAGGACTCGGGTCGTCGCGGGACTCGTGGGAGGCCGCCCCGCGACGCGATGGAAAAGGCACCCCCCCACTTGGGAGGTCTCTCCCTGTGGTTTTCACGAACGGCGAATGAACACTGCAATGGCTTCTCATGGTTACGAGGAGCTCACCACCCTGTTTGGTACACTCACTCACTAACATGGAAGTGAATAATGGCCTCTTGGAAGACGACTTTCCTCTACTTTCCAGTGGGTGAACTCCACGTAACCATGTGATGTGTTCGTCGGGTTGTGCGAAAACTCATGGTCATCCTCTCGGGGCCATGCCATCCACATTGGATGATTTCGTGTGGGAACCTGGGGAGAACAACGATGGAGTGCCAACAGTTAGGCTGAACAGCTCTCTTCCATGACTCCTGAGTCTCATCAACTCAGCCAGTCGAACCCCAAACCCAAACACTGTCAGACCCCCAAACACTCCATGGGACTGGCATACCTACATTAGAGTGGTTTCAGGGTCTGTAGGCATTAGAGTCTCACAGAGTCAACTTGACTCACTTGCTACTTGCCAATTTGCACTCCTTTTTCTCCCGTCTGCGCGCATCGTCTGCAAACGTGCTTGTCAAATGGGGTAGTATGTCTCTCAGTGCAATCGTAGTACATCTGGTACACGTCGGAGCCAAAAGGTGAAAACGGCTCCAACCTTGGACTTTGGCATCCAGCTGTGCCCGCGATGGATGAGGTGTCATTTGTTGGGCTTGGTGACATGTAGGGCCTCTCAAGAATTGCACGATCCTGACATGCTAAGGGCTGGTACAGGAAGACGATCCTGACTTTAGCACCGTAAAAATATGGGTTGGCCTCTGCAGAAACCCCTTCCAAGGACCATCCAATTCCCTTCCAAGGACCATCGTCCAGGCTAGCAGCGGCTAGGAGGCCACAACATGCGGTCGATTCCTTCCTATTTTCAAATCAGTAGGCTCCACTGACTACAGAACTGAATAGAAACAGAAGCAACATCGACGAAGGATGTCATGTTTCAGTGGGTGTCTGTGGTCTTAACTGGGAAAATATAGAGTCATATACCCAAACTTGCTTGGTGGTTTGACGACCCACCTGTGACATGTTTGATGATATCACATGATATAACCATATACCAGCCATACCAGACCTCCCAGGTCGTTGAGAATGAACGATTTGTGGAACCAGCCATCACCCTCAACACATCGCACCCCCCTGGACTTTGGTGTGCTGAAGGCGTCTCAAATGGCAGTTCCTGAAGGCATTCCAATCAGTCTTGAAAGGTAAATTAATGCATACATTGGACACATGATTTCCAGATTGTCAGCAGATTCTTGGCGTGACAAGTTGCTCAAGAAGCTTTGGGGGGAAAGCATCAATTGATGCAGGTGTCTGGAATCTCTAACATGATCTAACCCAAACACTCCATGTCATGGTACATTTACCTACCTTCACCCCCCATTCAGCATGTTTCAGCTGGGGGCCTGAATGCAGTGCCAAAGGATAACATGCTTGGGTCAGTCTCAACGGAGGGAGACGAAAAAGGAGAACAGCCGGGGATCTCCGGTCAACGGCTCAGGGCTTGGATGGAAAGCCTGAAATGGCCTGAAAGTCCAACCTCCACTCCATCTTCCAGTGAAAGCCTGAAGTGAAGTATGGAGTGAAAGCCTGAAATGGCCATCTTCCACTCCATCGAGGTTACAAGGTTCTGAGATCCAGCGAGACCGAAACAACCAGTCGGGAGACCAAACAGTGCACACGTGGTGCCGGACGATGTATTTGCTCATCAAATCTCACTATATACATTATATATAGAGAGAGCGAGAGACCACAGCTGGTATGCCTAAAAATAGTTTTCAGTTCAAGCAATGAACAAATAATACCTTTGGGGCAAACGATGTTGGGAAAAACTGAGCTCTTGATAGTTCTTGGCTTATCTCCTTTGTAAGCAGTCTCCGCGGTTGGTTTCCACTTATGTCCACTCAGGAAATAGTGATCTAAGTTTCCTAAGGTTGTAGATTTACCTGTTTGGAGCGACATGCCATCAGAACTTGGGATTGGGATGAGCGTGCTCAGGACGCCATGTGTCCAAGGAGGAACTGCAGAAACAGGGATGCATGTTCTGTCATAAACATGCGGTGCATATCGCTGGCAATGTCCTTTTGGTCCCCCATTCATCCTTCATAACCCCCGAATGAATTGGGTCTCTCCGTCCTTTCCAATAAGCTCATCCCAATCTTGCTCCACCTTGAAGAGATTTAGTCGTTTGGGGCCTCTTAGGACTGACCTCCCAAAAAATAACAAACCTTCTGGCAGGGTTGCTAATCCGGGGTCGAGATCTATTTCATATTACTGATGTACTTATTATACAATACGTATGCTTCTTTAGCTTTCTTCCCGACGGCTCTGTGCAAAGCTTGTATCTCACCTCTTCGCCGCAGCCTAACCCGGCCGGCGTCCGCCGAGCCACAATTCGTCCGGCATGGCCGAGCCGGAAGAAGTGCTTGCGGCAGCCTAACCCGTGGTCACGCCAGCGGTGGAAAACACTTCCCCTGTGACCATCCGACCATCCTGTTGAGCGACTTGGATCCTGGTGGGATGGTCCTGGAGGATGCAAATGATCGTCCTGGAAGCTTTGGATCAAACAAAGGTAACAAAGGCATTCGACGTTCGCCGTGTCAAGACTTGGATCTAACACATTGTACTTCACCGTCATCACCGACTTAACCTCCCAACAAGGCAACGTGACCCGGCAGGTGCTAAAAACAATCCGACAATCCACCCAACAAATCGTCAACCAACCAGTGTTGCATTTGCTTACCACCTCCCGCATTCTCATCATCTACTTTTTGAACCCAAAGGAGCACCCAACATCAGCCTTCATGTCCCAGGATGTGCTGCCATGTGGCCATGTGGCAACCGCTCTTAGGTTGGAGGCCACTCTTAGATCTCTTAGCTTGGAGGCTGTTGGACCCTTGAACCCCCTGGACGCTCCGAGCAGCTACTGCGTCAGCAGCGCCAGGGCCGCGAATCCGCCACCCACGGCGCACAGGCGCGGTGCTCCACCGTCCGTGGGTCCCGTCCCATTGTCGTCATGGTCGTCGTGGTCGTCGTGGTCCTGAGGAAACCGACGTGGCCGTCGTGGAACCGTTTGAAGTTGGTGTTAGACTTGAACGAAGCGTTTGGTGTCGTTCGTAGCTTCTCCTAGTGGTTTTTGTTGTGATGCCCTTGGTTCCGAGCTGCTTGTTACTAGTAGTATGGCCAGGAGCTACTAGTAGATACTGGTAGCTTCTTGCTCCAGTACTGGAGTAAAGGAGTGGATATAGAAAAGGAACCATCCAACTACGTGACCCGAAAGGAGCAGGGTTGGAGATGGCAAGGCCACTCCACTCCCAATATCACCCACTATACCATCCAGCCTTCGATGGAAGTGGATGGCACCCTGTAGTGTTCATTCGGATGGGCCTTCCCCTTGATTATTAATTGGAGTGGGCTGCACTGTATCACCTTCCCCGTGTTGGCTGCACTGCTCCTCAGTGCTCGTAACCTGCTCCTCAGTGCTCGTAACCTGCTCCTCAGTGGTGCTCTCATCATCATCATCATCATCATCATCATCATCATCATCATCATCATCATCATCATCATCATCATCCTCAGTAGTGCTAGTCGGCATCGTGGTGGTGTTGCCGGAAGCTACCTCAGTCGCTTCATGCGCAAACCAAAAAACCACCTGGGACCTGGGCACATGGCACCGATGTCCACATGTGCACCTGTCTGCTGCGAGTCCGAGAGTTCCACGGGTGAAACAGAGTTCCAAAGCCAGGTGTCCTGAGTCTTTTCTTCCTCCCAATATCTTTTACATAGGACCTAGGATATCATTCGCATACGGCTCCTTTCCCACATAGCTGCTGACGGTTCCGTCAAGGGCAAAGCAAAACTAATCAGGGCAGCCCTCGATCCGTCCGGCCAACAGCAAGTCCCATCACTGTCAAGTTCCTAGAGCCAACAAAACGTGTAATTAGTATAATATTAGAAAACTATATATATATAGTTTGGAGGATGGTGGAGGTGGGTCCATGTCCATAGTGGGGAAATAGATGGCTTCTTTGGGTGCGTTCTTGCATCAAGATTGCCAAACTATAAATAGATGTCCTACTTGTGTCACTTTTCCATGTAGACTCCAAAGTTCCGCTCGAATTGACTCATTGGCTTCACCTCTTCCAATCGAAAACTCGCCCGATCACCGACCACCGGCGCTCGTCGCCCAGAAATCGCCAAACAACCTACGTGGGAGAACTTCTTGGCACTCACACTTCAAGGTGACCTTTGTCCTGAGGACTCCAACCTAGAAGCGATGGCATCCAACCTACTTACTAGCGATGGCCTCCAACCTAATAGCCCACCCTGTCAGAACCGGTTGTCTAATAGCTCTTGCTGGCTACGAGGGCATATGCGATGGCCTCAAGTTAAGTTGTCCTAACAATCCAGCGGCAACCGACAACCTTCTGCTGAAAAGGGGGGCCTTCCCGGTTCCCTCTGGACGGTGTCCACACGTTGTGCGGCTCCCGGTCTACCATTTGCTTCCACGGCACTGTGAAGCTTGAAAGCTGTCGGCTTTGGCGACCCCAATTGGAGGGATCCGTCATGGATTGGAAGAGATCCTGCGGTAGAAAAACAGACCCATAATGCCATAATAGGGACATAAGCATGCAAAACGTGAATGACCAACATAGAAACCACGTGTGCATGTATTCATGTATATTGTTTTTGCTGACATGGAACTTGAAGCAGCACATTACAAAAACACATCAATCATGAATCAAAGCAAAACACTGTCTAAGCATGCACATCCAGCCGCACAAAAGTCTAACACCCCACATATGTTTTCAGCTGCATCATGTGAAAAGCCATGCACACCGTGCAACGAAAAGCGGTACCAACACCGGTGCCATCTCCTCCTTGGTGCCAAACTTTGGTCCGACATACTCCGCAGTCTCCTCAGGCGTGCTGACGAGTGGGTGACATGGGTCTGCGGGTGGGGAATCGCTGTTTGCGATGGGATGTTAGTGTAAAACACGTCCTTCCTAGGAAACAATCCTCCAACTCCTGGTCGGCCCCACGCTTTGTGTGAGGCAATGTGTGTCCATCATGTGGGTCATGTCTCCAGCCATGTGGTTCACATCCCAAAAGTGAGAGTTGACACCTGCAAATGTGAACCGTGCATTTATGGCCGGCAGTAATTGGTGGCTTGGGATTTGGAGTCTGTCATAGTCTTTTGATGTCTTTTGGGTTGGTAGCTCTTGTTGGTTTAAGTGTTCTGTTGTTTGGGTGCTCACCGACATCCGCTTGTCGAACATCGAGTCTCACAGCTGTGGTGCGGAGTTTGATGCGGAACGGGGGTGCTGTGGAGCTTGGGTCTTCCGTTTGGTGGCTGATCTCGATGTGCCATGCACAATGCACATGTTGGCCTTGTGCTACCTTTGTGCATTGCCTTCGAAGACAGGGACCTAACTCTTTGGGAGCAGGTGGTGAAGGAGGCCCTTTCGGGCCATACGCGATTCCATGCACCAATTCAAAGCGATTCAGAACGTTCACATGTTTCATTCAATATTGAACAACCTGGGGTGAATTTGGGATCTGTTGCACTCCAGGCTTTGCACCCCAGTTTCTGGCCCTTTTCAGGCTTTTCGGCCCCAAAGTGATTTGCGAAACCGATCTACCTCCGACGACACTGGTCAGTAGGGATACGACCGTTGATCCTGATCCTAGGATCTGACTACTCAACGGACCTCCCACAGTGGTGCTCCGGGAGGTCAACGGACCTCCCACTGCCGAGGTTCGGCTTCCACTAATTCGAGGCCGTTGCTGGTGGAGAGTTGCCGATTTTGCGGCTGGGCCATGTTGATGCCACAAAGCACTGAGGGCGACTCAGTCATCCCAGGGCTGCCTGCACAGGAAATCGGGGCGGCCACGCCGGGGGAAGGGTAAGTATGGGCTTGCCGAGAAGGTGCATGCTGATGCTTGTGTTTTGTTACCTGTCCTATATATGGTATGTAATATATAAAGTAAAATATTCTAACGTGGGGCCCACCAAATCAGCAGCTGGGTGAAGGAGAGGTGGTGCTAGAAGCACATAGTCTGATGGAGGACTTCCCTAGTAAGTTCCTCCAAGAAAGGGCGTCAAACGCCGCTTCCCGATCACCCTAGCCACCGAGCACTAGGCAGGCATATTCGCTAGGTGTTGGGCGTTCTGGATGGGTGTAGTTGGATCACTGGATCGGATGCGGTCTGCAAAAACCGCCTCAAAATCAGCAACAGAACCTACCGGACTATCTGACTATCTGAGATCCGCAGAATGATCATGTCAAGCAAACACGACTTTGCAATATGTCTGCTCCATCTGTTCCAAAAGGCCAGCTTCATCCATCAGTTCCTATATAATCACAATCAACAGGTTGTCCCTGTCCTTTGATGACCGTGAGGGACACTGGGGCTGCGAAAGCATTCTGGGAGTTGGTGTCAAAGTCCCACTTCCGCAAGATGGTCCCCTTCTGGGCGTCCTGGTTTGGCCACGACGGTCGTCTCCGTTCCGGCGAATGTGCCACGATGCCTGGCATTCAGAGGTTTCCGGTTCGGATGGGTGGCACTTCTTCAGTTTCAACAGGAAAGCTCAAGGACCGACCCCCGGTTTCTGGACCCAAATGGAGTGTTCAGCTGATGAAGCAGGAGTGAAAACGCCCGGAGAACAACCCCTCAGGTCAAATATCCAGTCTCGCAAAAGACCCCATGGTGCCTAATGTGTTGGAGTGAGTGGATGGACGAGCGGAAGCTTTGCTTGGAGAATGCTGGCAGTTACAAAGACAATTGGGCACAGTTTTCAGTCGGAGTCCAAAAGGCTCGAGAGCAAAGGACCAGATGCTGCTTAACAACGCCCGATGCTTGGGTGTTACAGCAGCATCTGGTCAGGTTTTCAAAGCTTCAATCCGTCTCAATGGTTGCAACCGCCATATTCTGATATATTCTGTCCCTGTTCTGCACGTTCTACGCCGAATGTGAGCACGGCGTAAGACCTGACATAAAGCTGCAAAAGCACCACACGTTAATGAATGCTGTACGACTGCGAGGCCAACTGGCCGCCCCACGTCGAGCCGTTTCGGTCCTTCACATGGGCCTTCGCCTCGGCCCACTGCCACTGGTCCACTTTCAAATCGCGGTCCTTGAAGTTCGCATCAGTCAAAGAGAGACCTTGGGAAACAAAGAACATAGGATGCAGAATAATCGTATATCATGTTCATTAAAAAGAACTTTGGGATTGGGAACTTTCAGAGCATCCGGGGGAAACACACACACAACACATGTGCGCCTTTACACTAAAATGACACTTCCAAAATTGAAACTGGTCACAGCAACTTCTAACTGGATTACCAGTTGTAACTAAATATGGTCTTTGAATACTTGACTGACTGAGTTAGTCCACGGAATCGGCGCGCGGATCTGTCAAGAGTCAAAACCTGACTCCAAAACACCGCATACCGCCGCGGGGTCCATGTGATTTGTCGCCCAAGAGGCTCTCGCCATTCACATCCTCCAGCAAGAGGACCGCGAAGTCATCCTTGTCTCCATAGATGCCGACAAAGGCACAATCCCCCGGAGAGAAGGCGGCGGCGGCTCCCCACCTGGTCAACAGCATTGGACTCTAAGCCCAAAGCAAGGGATCAATTTCAGGTACAACTGTACCTTAGGACATTGTCAAGTCCAAGTCCTAATCTTGCATGTACGTGTCCACCTTATTGCTTGCTGCTTGTTACACATGCAGTCACAATGTTGCGGACAAAAGGAACATGAGAAAAACAGGCTTCGCGTTCTGAAGGCATCGATGTTGGATAGGGAAGA